TCTATGTTTTCTTATGTGTAACATAAAACAACGCTATGGTATTTCTAGAATACTCTTCTAATCTCTAATATTTTGTGCATATTAGAGCCAGTTCTGGTGTCTTTGTACTTAACAGAACTCGATTAATTTTTCCTCCATTGCTCGTCTCTGCTTTCTGTGGAAGCCTTTGGCATTCACTACACTTCTGGCACCCATGCAGCTCAGCTACACATTTCTTTATGAACCACCTTCTTTTGTTTGTCTGAACATGCCACCTGCTAATTTGATATTTCCACCCCTTACAAAGTGTATTGTTCCCCACTAGGAACAATAAATCCTTGTTCACCCAATCTATACACCTCCATATAATATATTGAAAAGTTTTTTTATTTTTAGCACCTTGATTTCAGGCTGGTAGTTCTGTGTTTTAAATTAGAATAGTATCTCCCATGCCACTAAGTGCCAAATTAAATTTGGGTACGTTAGACCCCATTTGCTATTTTAAAGAGCAATTATCATCTGTCGGGGAATCCTCCTGTGTTCACAGAATCACTTGCAGTTTGCCATTGCTGTAGCTACCTTGAGTAACTTGTCAGCACTGCCTAACTGTCAGTCTGGCCGCTTGATTTTCCAGTGCTGTGATGAGTAACTTGAGAGCATGGCCTCTGCACCAATGGATCAAGGCCAGTAATAACCCCAAAAAATGTTTTTTGGAAATCTAAAGAGACAATAAACAACTTTGTCTCCATACTGACCAACTCTGAAAAAAACAGCTGTTGTGGAGCATGACCTCTTCTCCAAAATGCTGTGTTGAGTCATTCATCCACATATCTGTTAATGTTATTCTTTACACAAGTTTCTATTAATTTGGTTGAGATAGATGTTGGGCTTACTTCTAAAATTAAGACCTCATACTGAAATCCAAAATTCCAAGGAATCCATCAGCAAAAGTGAAGAGAAACAAGATGAGGGTGAGGGAGGGGAAAGATGCTGAATTAAGCTTTTCAATTTAAATTAACATACTGTTTAAATACATGTAATAATTTTCTAAAGCTATATTAATAAACTTACAGTTTAAAAAGACCCATTGGTGTACACTCTAAGACAGTTTTGAATATGAATTTTGACAGGCTTTAAAAATCTTCATACACCTCAATACTCTATACAAGAAACTACAAAAATCAGTTCAAATTGGGAGGAACAGGATCTTGCTAAATTATAGTACTTTGGCTTTGCAGATTGTGAGTATTTATTAAATGCCTCCCTTCTCCCCTCCAGAAAAGGTCCTTTTTCACTTGCAGAGACTAATTACACTACGCCCAGAAGTTAAAATGTTATTAAACTTTCAATACTGCACATGAAACACAGTTACAGATAATTTTAAAAGCCCTTTACTAACACTCAAGTGCAGAAACCACTTCTAGAGAAAGCTCTATATGAGTGCATCCATGCTTATTGGTTTTAAAATTAGTACAGAAGTCTTGGAGAGGAATAGCTCCTGTGTTGGGAGGGCTGGTGCTGGGTGCTGTGAAAAAAAAAAAAAAAAAGGCAAAATTGTGTTTTTGCCACTTTCATCCACACTAGGAGGGCAGATGGATAAATCTGTATTTTAGCAAACATTGTTAACAGTAATCAGAAACTTTAACCTTTGAAGTATTAAAAATCAACAGCACATAACTCAGGGCTTACCTTCTACCAGGTACAGGCAGAGAATGATCAGTACTCACAGAAGTCATACCAGCATAGGAGACAGGTCTCATTTTGCTGATGAACAGGTATGGTGCAAAGAGATGTTTAGCTACTGCAGTTTACTTGATTAGTCTATAAATAGCTGTGCACTTCATGGAATTAAACTAATAAGAATTTTACAAAGACAACAGCTGATGACTTTTCGCTTCTGCCTTTTCAAATAGTTGTAACTGCAACTGAATTTTTTGTACTTGGAGTAGATTATAAAAAAACCCACAACAATCCAAGACTCATGTTAAGTTACTTGCCAGGACAACATGGTAGAAGCTAAAATGGCAAATAAAAAGGAAATCAAAACATTACCTGGATGTGCTGAAAAGACTTTGCAATGGTCAGAGGCAAGTATGTGGAGAACATAAATATTTCAGTTTACATATGGTTCAGCTTTTCTCTACAAGTTAATTATTTTTAGTGTGCACATGTAAGAGGAAGCAACTTCTGCTCATAACATTAATACGTCTACAGTCTACCAGTCTAAAGACTCCCTCAGTTTATCAAATACACCCTCCACACACTGCTCACAGAACACCAGCAAGATCAAGGCAGGTCCTTGACTTCAAAAGTTGGTTTCATGGCCTGGGTTTAGGACAAAGAAAATGTCATTTCAAAGTTTGTCAAGAAGCCCTCAGCTACAGAAGAGCTCTACTACTCTCAATTTGTACAAGGTGCTAAAGCAGGATGCTTTCCTTCCTCCCAGGTCAGAAGCACCAGTTGTCACTATCCTTTCTCCCATCGTCATCTCACTGTGTGCATTCCTCTTCCCCCAGCCTAATAATAGGGTCAGTATAGTTGCTAAATTCATTATGGTATTGCCTAACAGTCACATCTATGTGTAACTACACTTCTTAAAAGCCCATCTTATTTTTGTGTTTCAGAGAAATACATCATGATGGTTGTGTCTTACCTTCAAGACACAACCATCACTATAATCTATCTACAAAATGCCTTATCATTGCCTAGCAAGGACTCAAGCATTTATGCTTTTAAAATTAAGCTTAGAAGCAATATAATTTGAAAACAACTCTCCTCCTCTGTGTCAGGAGAGCTATACTGTCTGTAACCTATACAACATTAAGCACCAGTGAGCCACAGCATTGGAACCTGCTATTCCCCACAGTGTGATACTTAGAAGTCTCTATCCCATAACAGATATTCCAAATATATGCAAAGTACCAACAACTGATTCAATTCAGAATTACATTAAAAGTAGTCAAACATTTGCAATTTTTTTTTTTTAAATGTAACCATTAAAAAAAAAAACAACCCAGAAACAAAGACAAGGAAACTTGTTTGTCCTTTTCACAAGGAAAAAGAGGTTGAACGTTTCACGACAAAAAAAATAAAATTAAAAAAAAGGCAAAACCAGATCATCCTTTTATTGCTTTATGATAAAGAAGGCATTTGTTGAAATCGAACATGAAGGTACAGATCAGATCTAATGATCTGCAGACACTATTACAGAAACAACGATTTGCTTCTAAAAAACAAAAGGACATGAGGGGTTCAGGAATGGGTAGCTTATGAGATGGAACTGCTTGCAGATATGCTTCTCTTTAGTATTCTGTAAAGCAACTCAGCAGAAAGAGACCTAATGCTTATTTTGATTTGCCACCAAGATCAATACGAGTGAAGATGTTTCTAAGGAAATCACCTCAGCAGTAAGATCTTATACTAGATGATGACGATGAGAAAGTGATCTGCTTTTAGACCCACTCTGGCTCTTACTCCTTTAAATGCAATTTTATTTTCAAATTCAACACTTGTCCTGTTTCACACTGAATAGCGTCTGCAGTGATTTATTCTTATGCAACCACCAAAGAACTCCTGCTTAAGAATTTCACAAGTCAATACATCTACATCTTTTTCTGTCAATGCATGCAATATCATTAAGAACTCAGACCCTGTAAACTTTTATACCACTTCTGATTACAAATGAAACTAAATTAAGCATTTTAACTTTCAAGAAGTCATGTGCCATTTTGTTGTCCTCCAATAAAACATAATTGCATTAAATAGTTCTTCAAATATGACATTAAATTGCACAACTATCAGTCATCTGAATGAAGAGAATAAAAAAATTTAATTTTCAAGAAAACAGAAGCTCGACTTATCCCGGAAGTTCACCCAAACTACTTTGGTTTCGAGCACCCAATAAATGTTTAAAGTTCAGTAACTAACTGCATAAGAATTGCCTAGTAACACTTTTGTTGTCACCTTGGGTAGACAAGCAGCGCAGCAAGATCAGTGTAGAAGTTGTATTTTCAAAATTATTTTTGTAATCACAACTGCTGTCTCTTAGCAACTTCCAAATATAATTGAGGATTTGATAAGTGCTCTATTTAGCCTGTTTTAGGAACTGTTTCCACTTCAAACTATCTTTTCCAAACATTCAACAAAATAAGTTCCTGTTAAAATAATATATTGATTTTGTCTCAGCTATAGAAATTAGCTCATTTTCCAGATTTCTGTTTGGAAGACAGAAGCTATCTGAATACAAAGATTGCTGTCTAACAGTTAAATTCTTAATTTTTCTGCAAAACTGAAGATGATGACAGTTCATAGGGCTGCTTTTGCATGCTTCCTCAGAATGCTTTTGCTCTTCAGACGCTATTCCTCCAGCCCTATGTCCCACTTGGACATTGGAAAAGTCTTGCCTCATTACACTGGATTTCTGCAGTGTGCCTCTCCTACTAGAACTTTTCAGTCCCATATTTGTTCTACACTGATAACAACTTGGGCGTTATTTAAGTACCTCCTGTGCAACATTTAGATGTGAAAATAGTGATTATATTAATTAAAGAGAAAGCCTGATAAGGGAGCCTGACATGTAAATTAACAAGTTTTTTTTAAGGAATGGAAATAAATTCCTGAGAACTGTAGACAGCTCCAGCTACCTTCATGACTGTAGAGAGTATCTTTTGTTCCTTGTACAGGATTTATTTTTTTCAACTCTTCAGTTTTTGTTTCCCACTTTTTTAATGTGGTGTCAATGAGTTCCACTTCGCAGGAAAAGTTTAAGGCAGGGCAGTATTTAATGCAGCAAAACTGTTTATCATGCAGCAATGACATGCTTCATTTATTCTCATTCAGATGAGAATCTATAAAAGTCATAGAAAGCATCACCTTAATTTACTGTTACTTTTTGCACATAAGCAAGAAACACCGCACCACATGACAGAGGGTACAAAGAACATGTTTATCACCGATAAGCTTTTCAGCTGATTTACTGTTTTATGCTAACGTCACTAAGCACAAAAATACACTCTACTCACCAAATAAATTGCTTGAATGTCCTTGCTTAGATATGGGTTTCAGTTCGTTTAATCCCCATGCGTATTGCTTATAATTATCCCAGGCATGCTTCATCATCTGCAGGGAAACAAAAGCAGGATTATAATGTTGATTTACCAAGAAGCCACAGCAAATACTGACTTCAGAATATTCTCAATATTATACATATTTAATTCAATGCTTAATTAAATTCATGTTATGTGCATTAGAACTATGAAATACTCAATACAGAATAACAGTGGCACTGTTTTCCTGGTGGCAGTGGGATGGTTACCATAAGAATTCCATGTCTGTCCCATCCACTTCTACCATTATCTGCCTACTTATGATCAAGACACACTTAAAAATAATTAATTTTTAGGAAGGGAATGTATTGTATTTTATAGCAATTGAAATAAGATTTTATTTCCCCTATGCATATACCTCTGAAACTGAGGGAAGTAAACATTTAAAAATTTAAAAAGAAGTTTTTTTCTCCTAGAGCAGGAATTTTTAAGGTCAAAATCAAGCTCACAGTAGTTTTCAGATTCTGGCAGAGGCTTTCTTGCATAAAACTAGCTGGTTCAAACTTAGTACGGCTAATAACAGGAAAAAAAAGACAAAGTGGGGAGACAGAACACCTAGGAGAGGTTTTGAGGTTATTAAGATATAATATTTTATGAATAAGTGCTACTGCATGCATCTGTAGCTACTTTCACATGTCACTTTGCACAAATATCCAAGAGCTTTTAGAACTAAAAAACACAAAATGTGTTTTTCATGAAGAGGTGCACCACAAATAAATACCGCTTTGGGAAACTGCCTCAGGGAACCCAGCACAGCAGCTCTGCGGCATGAACAGAAGGCATTCACATCAGAAGCCAGGACAGAAGACTGACTGAAGGACACCTCACACTCACTGCCACCACGGTCAGCCAGACCCAGCCCAAACTGTTCTTTCTGGAAGTGGTCCAGGTGCACGGCCAGGAGCCCACATGTCCTTCCTCAAGCATGTGGTGAGGGCAACGCACGCAGCGCTGCAGGCCTGGTGAAGAACCACGGCCACTCCAGCAGGTCCAACATCTCCCTTTACCAATCACCACCTTTAACACCTGCTCAGGAAGAGTACTTCTTTAAGGGCCACCACCAGCCGCCTGACTTTCTGTAACAGAAGGAAAGATTTTGCCTCCACATTGTCCCTCCTTCCCTCTTCCACAAGGCAGAGCAGCGCTGGGAATGCCAGGGGTCATCTTCTAGACAAAAATGACAACTTCAGACCTTTTCAAAGACATGGCCTCAGGCTGCCAGCTGACAACACTGCTCTGCCCTTGCTTTCAGACCTCTTCTTGAGGCCATATGAGTCAAGGATAATTCTGTTAAATAAGAGTTATAACCCTAAATTTAAAAGCAACAGCCTTAGGACTCACTGATAATAGTAATCCTGCACTTCTTTCCTCTTTTGTTTGCTAAAATCAAACAGAGAAATTATATTAATTAAAAATCTGCATTCAGCCAGACTACAATAAATGACAACAGATTTTCTAGAGTACTGCTACACTTGAGAGAATAAATATTTCTTTACTATTTACAGAATCATAAATTCACTTCTATCCTGTAGGAAAATTCAGGGACGTTAATTTACTCTAGAGCCCTTACAGGCTCAGCTTCACAAATGCAAAATTTTGTATCTACATTCAATACGTGACCATTTTCAACCAAAGGGTTAGCCTGGTGTCATATCTCAGCTGAAAGGGAGCAAGAGGCTGTGTGGAAATGCTCTTCAGCCATGGATGGCATTGACATGCTGGATGGCATTGACATGCTGGATGGCATTGACATGCTGGATGGCACTGACATGCTGGATGGCACTGACATGCTGGATGGCAGGAGTGGTGTCCCTTGCTCGACTTCATTGCAAAATGGCTTAGGTACTCTCCAAGGACAGGGTACTTTGTCCCAGTGCAGAATTGGTAAGAGGCTGCCAAGTGGTAGACTTCAGGCTGTAGGGCATTCCCAATCCCTGGCTACAAACATCAAGATCATATGAAACCGATCATTTGGCCACAGCATATTTTCTGATTTACCAATTGAAGTCTTCCAGTAATTTTGCGTATTATACAAGGCAGATTTATTCTGCCCTTCCGTCATGTGTCACACCTACAAGTTCAGCTTTAGATATTAAAGCTGAAATCTCAAAGATTTCAGCAGGCTAAATCCTGCCCTGCACTGAACCTGACATTTCCTATGCTTTGTCAAAGCTTATTTTCTCATGAAATCACATCAGAATCTTAATCTGGGAAAACCACACAGAAGCGCTTTTTTTTTTCTTTATTAAAAATAAAATCAAAGTTGTAATTAAGTGGTCCGAATCAAAGTGCCTAAAGATGCGGTATTATAACAAAATTAAAATTGCTCAAGCCAGTACTGCCATGGCCCTTCCCTTTTCCCCTCCTTTTTCTCCTAGCACATCCCTGCTCCTTCTCTCGCATAAGAGGTGCAATGCTCATCTATCCCCACACCAAGTCAGTTCAGGAAACAGAAACTTCTGCAAGTGAAATTTCTGGTTTGAGAATCATTTTTGTCCTTGTGCCATTCTCCAAGTCAAATTGCCACAGCTATCAGAGTTACCAGGTGGGAAAGACAGGAGCAGCTCCAGACCCAGTTCAGTTCAACCAAAACAGTCACGAAGTGCACAACACTACAAGATGTCCCATATGTACTCAGCTGCTTTTAGTTTTTCTAACTGATTGAAATTTTGATCTTACTGCATTGTAAATACATGTGCATATTCTTAACTTCTGTTAAGAAGAACCACTCCAATTACCTTATTATTAGTCCGCCCCTAGAGAGTAAGACAGGAAGCTAACCCATACATCAGACACTACCTTCCAAAAAAAATTATTACGTTAATGAACAACTTTTTTTTTGTTTTCTAAAATGTCCTCCCATTTTGCTCAGTCTAACTACTCAGATAGATTTGTCTAACTGCTTCTTAGGAAATCATACTGCAGGACTCCAAAAAGACAAGCAGACAAACTGAGTAATTTGAAACAAACCCTTAAAACCTTAAGAAATACTTCAGTGGGAAAAAAACCACCAGAACCTACTGAGCAAAAAATTAATCACTTTTGGCAAATCAGAGTTTTAATTTAAAACTCTTCCAGAGAGTCTAGATTTAGATAAAAACATCAAGCTTAATAAGCGAGTTTCCACCTAAAAAAATGCACCTTTTGAACATCCTTTCTTTAGATATTTGGAGGTTTATGGACATAGCATTGAAAGCAAAATGCAACTCCAAAAGCAGTCAGTGAGCCCTCTAGTGTTTCAAAACGACAGGAGTTAATCCAACTAGCCACAAACATGAATGGCTATATAGAAAAAAAGTTACTAGCACTCAGTGTTATTGTACTTACTGTGCAAATAGCCCATAGATCCAGTAGCCTAAAAAACCCCACCTTAATAAACACTGCCTGCTGGAGAAGTGAGTTTGTGCTTCTAACCTAACAGGAAGTCTCAATTTCCAGAATTCAATAAATACATCAGAAATACTCTACATGCTTTTCTCCCTATGGAAACTACCGAACTGTATTAAGTTTCCAACTAAATGAATTTCCTACTTATTAATAGTTTTACTTTCTACATAAGAATAAAACATCCTAAAATGTTGAGTAGCAATTTGAATAGACCTAGCCCACTGGTAATTAAACCTTTGCTTAGGCAAGACTCGCACTGGTAGTTCAGGAATGAATTTTAACAGTTTCTTTGAGAAACCCATCTATCTTTTCAATCTTCACCATCCTGTTTGTATGAGACGTCCCCAAATCAGCATTTTCATATTTTTTTTAATTCACAAAGGCCCTTCTGATCACGTCTCTGACTAGTTGTACAAGTACTGTTGATCACTTGAAATGTCTAAATAAAAGATCACAGTTACCAAGAACATATATATTTCAGCACAACATTATGGATCCTGTTAAAAAGAGAAATTCCTAATGATGAAGAGTCTAACAGCTTTCGACCAGATTATTCCAGACACTCCCAAACTCCCCTACAGTGTAACTAACAAAATTATTCCACCCGAGTGCTTGCAAATAATTCCTTATTAGTCCTCCAGGATGTCAATAAGCAGAGTTACATTTGCATAGATGTACTCCTCAGTCCTCCTAGTTTTACTGAGATGTATTTATTGAACCTCAAACTCTAGAAGAACCTGACAGCTCATTGGAAAGCCCTGTGTCTACACTAGCCAAGTCCATTTCCAACAGAGCTCTGCCTCAGGTCACTCACAATCAGAAGTGGCAGCTGAAGGCTTGACTATTGAGCACTGTCTCACTAGTAAGCTGCCTGCTTTTACAACTTCAGAAAAAAACAGGGCACTGATTTTTACTTATGAAGTCAGAAAATGCCAAAATACCAAGTGTGCTATTGTAATTGACAGCAGCAAAGTCCCTTAGAATAAAAAGGTGATGGTCTGTTGTTATGCATAAAAGGAGCTGTGCACTTCTTTCTTTAACTGTAAAGGAAGCATATCTAAATATAATTTTAAAATCCTTCTCAACACACTGAAAATTATAAAAAAATTAAAAATCAGATTTTTTCTCCAGAAGCAGAAGCAAAGATCTATAGCTATAACGCTGGCCAACCAAAAGATGATGATAATGTGCTCCCATTTGTTGGTATTTTAGTTACCGCCGTCTTCCAAAGCACTGTAACACAATGTCTACAGAGAACACTTAAGCCACCTGAAATGTGCAAAATACAGTTCTATTCAAACAGAAGTACCCAAGAGTTCAAGCACGAAATGTTGCCAGAAAACAAGAGCAATGCTGAATCAGCATAGTAATAGTATTTAGATGCAAACTACTGCAGTATCAGGTGGAGTGAAAATAAGAACACCTTAATAAGGTTTATTTTTAGGAGTTACATACAAGCTGGGGAGATGTCAAAGAGGACATCAGGAAAAGAATTCAAGCATATTCTGGAACTGGGTTATTAAAGGAAAAAAAATTCATTGCATGAAATAGTACCAACCTGACCCTCAACGGAGCCATTTAAACCATGCAAAGACAAAGGAGGAAGGCAGAAGATTAAGGTACTGGAAGCCCAAAAAATGAAGAGGTCAGTTGAAAAAAATAGCAAGTACAAAACTCTGAAGAAAATGTAATAGCTTCCAAGTCTAATCTCTACTAAACTCTCATTGCTAGGTCAAATAATCTCTCTCTCAGTTTACACTGAACTTTTTACACATTTAAGTTATCCTCATCTTTTAAACTTCTCCTTAGCACAACTCCATGTTCACTCCGTCTAGTCTCCTGAATCTTCTCTCCTTCCTGTTGCTGTAACTAAAACTTCATTCTTTCACAGTATCAGCAAGCGAAATGAAGGAAGTCCCCAGAATTATTAAGAACCCTCTATACATGTTCCACTTAAACTTTCTTCCTATACAATTCAGCTTGCAGGGTTGATGACTGTACTGGGTCTGGCCAGGATGGACATCCTTCACAGCAGCCCATATGGTATTCTGAATTTGTGGCTGAAATGACATTGATAACACAGCAATGTTTTGACTATTGCTGGACAGTGCTTGCACAACATCAAGGCCTTCTCTTTTCCAACTCCTTCTCCTTTCCCTCTCCCCTCAACAAGTAGGATGGGGGTGCCTCAGAGGCTGGGAGTGGACACAGCTAGGACAGTTGACCCCAGCTGGCCTAAGGGATATTCCATACCACGTAACATCATGTTCAGGGATAAAAACTGGGGCAGAGGAAGAAGGAGGGGTTTTCCAAGGTGGCTGTTGTTCAGAGACTGGGCATCAGTACGCTTGTGTGAGGTGGCGAGTGACTGCCTTTGCATTACTTGTCCCTGTCCTCTCCTTCCTTTTCCTAATAGAATCATAGAATCATTAAGGTTGGAAAAGACCTCAAGGATCATCAAGTCCAACTGTCAACCCACACCACCTAACTCACTAAACCATGTCCCTAAGCACCATCTCTTCTATGCTAGCAAGCCTGTC